CTTGATTTCCTCAGTTTGTGGTTAGCTTCTGATAACGCTGTTTACGAAGTCAGTGTCGTTAAAGTGTAACGACGAAAATAAAATAAGCTGGATTTTATGATCAACGGTCTGAGAAAAGCTCAGCGACCGGCACCACCTGACCAGCTGTGACAAAACACTCCAAAGAGTATGAATTGTATTCAAGCCTGCTCCCCTCGTCCTCTGCTCACAAGTGAGTTGGAGAAAAACTACGTTCATTTTAAACGTAACATTGAGTTATCTATTTAATATAGCATTACGGTATTAAAATACTAATAAACTTAATATTTAAGTGATTCTGAGAATAACCATGCTTTAGCTGGGTTTGGTTCAAACTTGCCGTTTAATGCAGGAAGTATTACTTTAAATGAAACATGGAACAACGGCACAGCAAGGACGAAAGGCCACCGTCGTTCAGCTGGCGATGATGGATAGAAAATTAATGGTTGTCGACGAACGCGAGTGCAATTGTAGTAGAAGCACCCCGTAATAAAACAAAGACTCTTCTCTATCTAATGAAATTACCATTTGAAAGCGCTCATACATCTTACAACCTGTCGTACAAAAAAATACAACACTCCGTTGACCAAGTAAAGTGCATTGGCTAAGCAGGAACATCAATGAAACAGTATTCATAAAGTTCTATGAAAATACTAACCGTAACAATTGATGGAACCTCTGTGCATACTAACTGCAATTATCTACACACTCATTTATTCATTTAACTAATCAGTTAGTCTTTCACTTGCTTACTTTATTACTTATTCATTCGTTCATCTCCGTAATTACTTATTTGCTTACTCGTTTAATTACAGAGTCACTTACGCATTACGTATCAACTAGCTTAATCGATTACTTACAGAAAATTTACTCACTGACTTAGTTATTTACCTAATTACTTGGTCACTTAACTACAAAAGTACTACTTACATATCTTATTCAGTTTAGTTACCTCTTTAGGTACTACTTATGTACAGCGTAGTAACCTCCTTAATTACTAACAAATTAACAAACTATAACTTGCACACTTGCTTAATTACTTGCCTCCTTACTTTCTAATCTGCTTGCTGACTTACATGCATATTTACTTATTTACTTTCTTACTGCGTCAAGTCCATCTGACAACAGAGGGCGTCGAATTCTGAGGAAACCTAACAACATATGAGAGGGAGTGTTTCCAAAGTGAAAGAAAAATGCATCTGCCGCTTTGTCTCCATGATCGACACCTGATTATTTCACGCGATAACATTCCAGACATTCACGTCCTCATCATCTAGACCAGGGGTCAGGCAACTTTCGTACCTATTACCCCAAAAGATATTGTTTTACGCCGACGTTACCCCCCCCCGGCTGATTTGAAAGGGAAAACATCGTAGACAATTTAAATTCAAAACGTTCACTGAATCTATTTATACGGGAAATACAATCAAAAAAATAAAATAAATGCGATAAAATAAATTAATATACTCATCATGAAACCAAAGAATTTCCTTGATAACTTTAACACTTCAGATTTTGGAGAAATGATGCTGTTTCATTTTTAATTCAGTAACATAAAAATTGGGGCATTTTGACTTCAAAGCATTTTGGATACTGACCAAACAATTTCACCAGCAACAGTTGTTATGGATGGTTACATGCGAATCTGCGCACTCTGCCGGAGTTTTATGTTTTCTAAGTTCATTTAAATTTACAATAATTTAATTAATAAACGTGACACTACGACATGCCCTCAACATAAAGGCAGCACTTAACTATTAAATTGATAATCGAAAATTAATGGAGCAAGGAGAAAATATATTAATCAAGTTATCGAACTAACATATAACTTGAATATTGCTAATAAATGAAAATTTTAGACTTAAAATAAAACTATTGGAATAAACTAAATTAAATTACTTAAATCGATTTAAATAAAGCAAAATAACATGTGCTAAAGAATAAGGTTAAGGCGGGTAATAGATAACTGATAAATAATATCTGTTTAACCACTTGACAACGCCTAAGAAACCAAATTGTTTGGAGTTGAACATGGCGTGACGTCTCTTGAACACGTCTATTATACTGGCCAGAAGAAAAATTTCTGTCTTAACAAGGAATGCGCTTTTCATGTAATTCTATTCATGTCGATTGAGTTCTCATTACCCCCAAAAATTTCGTTTTTACTCCTCTTGGGATAATTCACCCCGGTTCGCTGACCCCTGATCTAGACAGATGGTGACATTTGTCACGTTGTTTCGTGTTGAGTCGTGACTTACAAGATAACTAACGTTCAATCAACATGTACTATAATTCGCGTATTAAAATTAAACTGCATAGAACATGAAGGAAACAATGCTTGGATGTTCTGGAACAGCCTTCAAGAACGGCGGCTTTCCAATTCAAAGTTAAAAACACACTATTTAAAGACATAATGTAAAATGAATGCAAGCAGTTATTAAACTATTTCAGGATAATTTCAGATTGGCAAAGGAAAATTAATCAAGTTAACCTTTTATTCTGCTTACCATTATTACTCACTGCCGAATGCTTATAAGCCCATATGCAAGAAAATCAACAATAAATTTCAATGGCAATAATGAGGATGCAAACTGAGTGATCGTCATTCGTAGAGATCAAATTACAATGACATCTGTCACGTTTAAATGCCTGAAATCGCTGCTGTCACCTGATACAACTCCGTACGGCAGGACGACTGCAAATCGGAGTACACTTGCGACATGATCAAGTTTGTCAGATTTAAGCATCAGTGGATCGCTTTTCAAACTTCGAGTACAGAAGGACATGGTACCGCTCTTGTCTGCCAATCTGAGCAGATTTTGGATCCATCGATGTAACTGCGTACCTTCAAAGTCCTGTTTCTTGTCATGCACTAGTCCAACGAGAAAGACGCTGTGAGGTTTTCTTCCTCCATCGCTCGAATTCTATGCAACGAGGTCTGAGATTTACCCATTCTATGTATCGCTTATCATCTTTACAACAAACAGCGGTTTGTACCGCTATGTCGAAAGAAATCCGGGTCGATGTCCAACAGTCTTTGAACTGTAGAGGAGTCAGTTTGGCCCTCGTTAATAATTTCGGCGTTCAATACAAGGGTTCCTTGCAAAGCACTATCGTAGTAGCGCCTTATTACAG